TTCAAATATAGTCTTGTACGCCAATAACGTAAGGACATATAATGTCATTGAACTTAAGACTGAATAATGGATAATAGAATCTATGTAAAACACTTGAAACTGTTATTCAGTTGATCATATATTGAAGGAGTATGTGCTGATATTTTTAAATACAAAATGATTATTTAAAAAGGATATATTAGTTTATTGTTCTCTTGATAATTGGAAACTTTTATGATTTGAATGATTTTTGTCTGCTAATACTACACACGAAGAGTAAACACTTGCATATAACTATACATGAACCGGTCAATGAAGAAATGTGCATGAACAAATGTCATCCTTGGATACCTATCTATAGTATGAGGTTGAGAGTGTGACTATGGCTCATTCATGGTGTTTATTCCGTTTCACCTTGTCTCATTGGTGGTTATACTACCACAGATTTATTTATGCCACATAGCAGAATCTATCAACTTAAAATGTTTTCATTACAGAAGTCTAGAAACAAAACGTTGTGTGATATCAGTGCATAAAACTATTTATCTATAATGAACAATTCGATAACTGTCCATCTTATTTTGAAATATTCAAGTGATTTCACATTTGTATTATTAAGTTTGAATGAATTGTTTGTTACAGATTGATCGATATTTGGGCATGCAGTTTTATACGTTGATCCTTTTTTTCAGTATCCAGCCCACCATTTTGCAAACCGAACATCTGAAAATAATATCTTGGAGTTAATGACACTATTCTGAAGAGTTTAACAGTATTAATATTTGGGCAGTGACCATATAGTACACACATCTGCGGAAACGTCCATTCGATGGTATGTTATAACATGAAAAGAATATTAGAAAGGTAGTTTTGTTCAAAAATTAAATATAACAACACAAAGCAAGAAATCTTGCTGTGCTCCGTTTGGTGAATTCGTGTTTTCAAAGAAATATAATTCTTCATGAATGCTAAGAAATGCAATCTTTTTAAATAAATTATTCATACTTTTTTTGTCACTTAAAATTAATGATGCTTACGAGGATAAAATTCATTCTATTGAGAACAAGATGCCTCAAGGACGTTTTCCCATTTTAGCATTTCATTTATTATATGTTTTATATAACAATAATCCAGCAAAACGTGGACGTACATATCTCATAACATGAGACGCTTGTGAGATTTTTAATGTAGTGAACTAATTATAATGTTATAGTCAAACCGTTAATATATACGCTTTTCCTGCCACCATCTGTAAAATAAAAATGCAGCATTCAAAATACAAGTCAAGACTAAACACATCACATAACAGCTACCAGTGTGTTTGGTTCGCTTGGTTGTACTTTACTCCCAGTGTTTCTATTTTACTTCTCTCTGAAACTGATTCTGCGTTACGTACGAATCTTGCATGACTTGCATGATTGTATACAATGTCATTGATCAAAATTACGTCCAGTTTTTTAGAAACGGTTCATTTCTTCAATGAAAATGGGCTTTGTAATCTATTACTGACGCTTTCCATGTGCATACTTGTAGTGAGCTTTCTGGGTCAACATATGGAATTTTTGTAAGAAGTTGTAATCAATCAATCTTAAGCTGTTGCTCAACAAAAAATAATGTTCGTGCAATATTGTAGACTGATTGAATCTTGTCATAATCACTTTTGTTTACAGGCATAGTTTACCGTATTTGAGCTTTCATGCAAGTGACAGAATGCTCTACTATTTACTTTATTTATGAAGTCACTAACGTGCTATTGTATTGTAGAAGTATATATAGGTCCTTTTGGTGGCACTATATAATTGAGATTCTTGCATCTCCAGTTCTCTATAGAGACTAATTTACTTTACCTTTTCGTTAAGTTCTGCTTTTTCTGACCCAGTGTTGTTTGCATCATTTTCACAAAGCTGAAATGTAAAAATAACATAAACATGCGCATTTGTACGAGCCTTACACAGACTCATGCAAGTCACATATGTATATATATATTTTTGAAAATAATCATGTTGACAACGAATACGTGATCAGCGAATAATCAAGTAATGCGAATCGGTTGTCCAGAACGCTGACGACCGATCATTAAATAGACGTCAGAGGCCTGAAGTTACTATTGATAAATGTCTTTACCCGAATAAATCGAAACAAGAGACATGGACGCAAAATTTGCATAAATTTGCATAACAAGTGAAGCAGCTGGTTTATGGTGTATTTACCTAGTTTCAATGTTAGCCGAATTTCGATTCTTTAATTGGCCTAATGGATCAAATAGATCTCAACGAAGATCTAACACGTTTTTAGACACAATTTGATTTGTTGAGGAGGTAAGCGTCACAGAACACGCTTAGATGTCTCAAATTTGTATTTTGTTTATGCGCTGAGCAGTTGACATTTAGATCACATTGGAAGCCGAACAGTTATTGGCTCTAATTTGTTACTGCGGTATTTTAGTGTGCTACTATTTGTGACTATCTGTAAGAAGTTTCAAAGACGCATAAATAAAAGCAATTTGTGTGCCCAAATTCATTGTGTATTCTAAATGCTTTGAAAATATACTTTCTGCGTTATATCGTGACATTTTCGTCAGTTACTTCGGATTAAGAAATCTCAGTAGTCTACCTGTACGATGGTACATTTTCTCGTTCTGATTTATTAACTAAGGTGAACGTCAATCGATGCAAACATATCAAGTGGCAAGCGCGTCATTTGTACATTTTGAAATCTTTTTATTTACCAATGAAGTAAAAGTTCACATTATTTCAAATATTTTATGAAGAACAAAGAGACGTTGACAATTGAAATTGGTAACAATAAGTTTTAGAAACTTTGTTAAAACAATAGAAGTAATAATTGACATGTAATTGTGAAATCATCAGCAGTATCATAAACTCGAACGACGAAACCAAAATCATATAAAATAAGGAGTATCCTTCTGATTCACCGTATGTGACGAAATAATATGTGGTCAGTGAAATCACCTGAAATTGTAAAACTAATAATGTTAGGCCTAACAATGATAATATAAACACATATTATATATGTGTTAAAAGTGAGGATACAAAGATAATAACTGCGGATTGTCTAGTAATTTCACATCCCCGAAATAAACGCAACAACAAGTGGTTTATCTGTCCTGTTATTTCATAAATCGTATATTGTTAGACAATCAGATCATTATCATGAATATCCAGTTGATTGAGGAATGAAACAGACATACTTTTGTGGTGCCTCCACATTTATTTAGGTCCGCTTACATTTAATTTGCTCAAGCCCTTTCGATTAATTTATTCAACCAAGCCATTTGTATAGCAACAACTCATATGTACCATTGGTATTTTTTATTATCTGGTTTGTATGAGCTTTTACGACTGAGCATTGCTTTCCCCTACGCTCTTACTCATCCTTTTTGCTTTAATGTTAATCTCTTAATTTCCCCATGAACTCACATGATTTGTATCGCTTGCTTTTGACCTTGTCAATCATTCGTCGCTTTTATTCATGTCTGTGCATACCTATTTCACTTGTCATATGTCTGTCTTATTTATGCCTGACTATATATTCTTAGTCATACTCTATCTCTTTGAGCTGGCTCTTAGCCTTCTCCAATTCGCTTCGCCCATTCGCTCGCATTGTTATCCAAAGAGTTGGCTCTTAGCCTTCTCCAATTCGCTTCTCCGCTTTGCTTTCTGGTGTGCCTCGAATAAACGCATTGATCAATACGATTTCATCTTCTGATTTATAAACAGAGTTTAAGAACACGCATTTTCCGGCACACTACACTATCAAATGTTCACTGTTCAATGCTCAATATTCAAGTCCTCACGGTGGAAAATTGGAACTGACGACCATTTAACTTTCAATCTCTCGTCGATATTGAAAACGATCATCATTTGTGCAATAATGTACATAAATCTGATTGAAAAATATGTCGTGAATAATGCTGGTCATTGCATTTTATAATTTAGGCTAATGCTTCAAAGTTGTAACTTACAATTAAAGTTCCACAACCCCAACAAATCAAAGACAGGAATGTGTATGTTCTCTAGAACAAAGAAAAAATAAATGTCTTTAAAATAATTTTGGAAATATTTGATTCATGCTTTTTAAACATTTAAAATCTGCAAATATACTGGGTACTGTGACTGTGACAATAAGGTCAGTCTTCAAATAAATTCAGGTTCATATAGTGATCGGTACTGCAACTTCACCTCTCTTTCATGAGAGCTATTAATGCGACAGACCAGCTGAATGATTTCTAATTTGTCAATGATTCACTTGAGTGTTACTGTTAACGTAATGCGTATAACTGAAATGAAGTTGGTACTTCGCGACGTTCCATTTCAATAATCATTTTGAATTTTTGCAACAGAAATAACGTAAACGTCAGTCATCCGTCAAACAAAAATTAACTGCTTTTTCTGGAAGTTTATAAATCACTAATTTACATACATTGTCGTATTTTGAAAACCTGCAATGACGTTTGCTGAACGCTCACAAACTACCAGTTAAACGCAGAAGATTAAAAATGAAATTATTAAAATCCGTTATACATAACTTAAAATAATGAAATAACTTTGATTCACGAGAACATTTCGTAAAGTAATGTTTGACGTTTGCAGTAAATTTATTTAGTTTCAGTAATCGATGAAAAGTTCTTTGAAAAATCCAATACAATCAGTAACCAATTTTATTAGTTCTCGGTATTTTCTCCTAATGAGCTTACTTTATGTAAACAATCACAAATTAGGGCTCGCACAAAGAAGGCGATTGCAGCTGCCACAAATAAGCAACAAAAGCTAAATAACAGTATCCTCCATTTTCGTCTAGAATCTTTCAGTTTAACACCCAATAAAATACCGAGAAACGTAAATATGGATGTCACATTGAAAGCAATTACGCGATCGATCCAATCACCAGGTATGTTCAGTAATGCTGCTCCGATTATCCAAAAGATTTGCTGTGTAGTAAACAAGTAATATGTTAATTTTTGATAAGCGAAATTTTAAAGCAGTCAACATCGAGAAAAATAAATGAAGGGTATTTGGTCAAACGTTGTTGGAAATTATAACGTTTGGTGGTTAGCAGGTAATTTATCTAAATGCATGTTGGCTGTATCTTTTGAATTGCAAGTAATCATCGAAAAAAAACAAAGCCAACGGACATGCGATAATAAGATGATAACAATAATTTGACGAACATAATACATGAAAATATGAAAGCGATTTCAGAACGAAAGGCTCTGAACAACCGAACATCAATTTTATTTGAAGGATCAAAAGATAAATTACGCATTGAGTAACACAAAATTGAAGATTGATCAGTCGTACAGAAGCTTCCTGGAACAGTACCAGTTCAGAGCTACTGTACATTGAAATCATCTGAAAAGTCCTTATCTATTGGTTAATGTAGGCGCATTTATTGCATACTTTTTATGCACTGTTCTGAAGTCGTCATCATTCGTCTATTATCGGCCTAACAGATTCATTGTTTCCAATGAGGCTGTTATTGAATAACATCATCAGATTCTCGTATCAATAATACTGTATGTAGAAATAAATGCTGGAACAGATGCGAAAAAAGAAACATTTTGTAGGTTATCGACATCTCGACAGTTGTCTATTAAGTCGAACTCATACAAACAAATAAATTCAAATGGTCTACATTTTGTGTACTGACATCCTCAAAAACTGTGTGAAAATGTACAAGGTGATAAACAACATGTTCGACTAACCGTTAAAAAAATTAAAAGGGCGTTCCTTGGTGATGAATACTGAAATGATTTTTTGAGTATAATGATGACTGTGAATAATAGTGCTGTGAATCTATAACGTGTAAATGCAGGGAACAACAAAATTAGTTATATATATAATAGGGGTATTACGAAACAATAAACGTTTCATGAAATATAAAGGCTAAAATTTGCAACCATCCACACAAGCAAACGTTTTGCTTACATGTTGCCGAATAAACAGATTAACAATAAGAAATTGACAAAAAATCATATTTTTCTCATTTCACAATCATGTTTCGTTCAAATGACAGCGCTTTTCGATTAAATGCTTCGGCACAATTTCCTTGAAAAAATTGACATCGAAATCTTTTTTTTCTTAATATATATTTATGATGGCTTGAATGATTGATAAATGATTTTATAAGCAATGAGTTTGTCAAATTTATCATTCTTCTTGACTTACATTAATATGAGGCCAGTCAAACGACCAGGATCCACCCAACACTCTTGACATAAACTGCCACGTCAATGAAAAATTCGACAACTTACAAGCACGTAGTTGAATAACAATTTTTTTCTGACGGAAGTACTTTGGTTAACATGTTTGAAATATTCAGATTAGATAAAGTCGATAATTCCACTTTAAACTTAATAGTCTAAAATGCAAGATGCAAAGAAGAGCAAAATGTTTGTACTTGGGTCACACAGAAAAATAAACAATCATATTTACACTTTAGCTTTCAATGACAGTTATATGATTACTGGTGTAAATCAAAGAACATGTTGTCATAAACAGGGAAATAGTTCGACATCGATGAATACTTTTGCGTGTAAAGAATTATTAATTAAAGACTATGTTTCATACAAATGAATATATGACCATATTCCTATCTATTGACCTTTCTTACAATCTTTATCAAAATGTGTGTATCTATTAATCAACCAATCAATAAAATTGACCTCATTTAAAAAGTCAATGAAGTTCCATTTACTGAAACAATGAGAAATATGAAATCTTGAATTGAATAATGAATCATTAGGGTGGAAAAATATGATGATAATTAAATTTATCAACTCACAGCATTCATTCGAAGCGTTCAATTAACACAATTTTGTACAATCTGCAATATATATAGTCAAATATGCCAATAACATATATTGATTGACTGACGATTATAGTATCAATGAACTTTATACCTAATAACAGTTAGTAAAATATGTAAAACACTTGAAACTGTAAATCAGTCAGAGATTGATTGAACTTGATCAACGTGCACTTACTGTAAAGCACTTACTGTGAAAGTTTCAGTAATGATGCGTAATTAATATTTGCATCACTGACGTGGTTGATTCCTTTTCACATTGTCTCTTTGGCAACGAATTATCCACACATATATTGTGCACCACTCATATTACTATTGAATATAATTATTTTATTGTTATTTTAAAAGGACTAGGTGATTTTATGATCAAAACAATAAAATACGAATAAAATTTGCTACCTATTTTTACCGCTTTCCTGTTTCATAAAACCTTATCTGATGGAGTAATGCATAGATTAAACAAGTTTAAAGCAAACCGTGCCTGTAGATCAAATCTGGTTACTGTCATTATCAGTATGCTTTTGCTTCATTTCAACGTCTTCATCCAATGTAAACAAATATGACTAAAATGTATCAGATTATATCTAGTCGACCAATGGTGAGAGAAAACAGTACGATTAAAATTAGAAAAGATTGTTTCCTAAAAGTTTGTGTTGTGTTTTGGTATATATATATTCATAAATGTAATAAATAACTCAATGTATTCTGAGATTTTTGACGTACGATAACCTTGAAATACTATAACCGTTTATACTAGATAATCAAATATTTGTTGGCAATAGTTTAGCTTCTCACTGTACCTAGAATGATTTGATAAATATCAATGAATTGAGAGAGAATTTATTCGTCAGTAAATTAGTTGTTTACATGTGTCTTAGCATGTTTATTATCATTCATATGCCAGTTCCAAGGCGCATAACACTAAATAGTCAATAAAGCCATAAGCATTCAGTTGTAAATGATCATTTACAATTAGATCATAGAAAATTTAGGACAAACAACAGCCACATTATAGTTTGCGATGACGAGGAAATTGAATTTAATTCGATTCAAATATCGATCGTGATAGGTAGTTGTTACATTGTGAAATCATCAACAGTATTATAAACTGTTAGGAAAGTCAAATACACTATAAAGCACTCCCTCAAGGTGGTTAATTTAGTCACCTTTATTTTTAAAACACGATAAATAAAGTTTAAAAATGTTAGGTTACAATTTTTACAATTTTCGACACTACAGTTAGAGGACGTAATTGATCTGAAAATTTTGATTTATGTGTGCTATACATTTTAAACAACCTCTTCATGCAAAAACTTCATTTCATATGAAGATAACTAGATGCACAGTTTGAAATGGAAATTTTAATATACTTGCTTATTCCATTTGTATCGCAGTAATTTCTCTCTCCATTATTTAAAATAATAAACTTATATTTATTTGAACTTTCATAAACTTGGCTTTTACTTTCTTTCTTTTGAAATAGCTTGACAAGTTTATGTGTGGTCAGATTCTTCGTACTGTACAACGCAAATAAATCAGTTCAATATAGTTCTCTATCTGAAGAATGAAAATTTCAAAGTAAAATGTTATAATCATGTGACGAACCAAAAATATTTCCCAATGAAGTGTTTATATTCTGGTACCTTCATTACTAGTCAAACTGAGCAAATAAAAAGTGGATTCTTGATTTGAATATTCAGTCAATCAAACATTTGAACGCTCTCTTTCATTGAGACTCATCGACAGACAGAATGTTGACAGTAGAAACAAATACGATCACATCATGTTTTATCTTTTATTTTCTAACTAATATTCATGATAAACAAATAACTTAAACTATTATTGTTCCTTATTCTGCTTACATCCAAGCAGCATAGATCGATACTTCGTCAATTCTTCTGTATTTCATTATTTGTACACTGAGGGACAAAATAGCTAGTACTTATGTTCTTGAAACACTTTGATCATTACGAAAACAGAATTCATTATATAAACAATACGATTTTGTGATGAAGTACTTCCGTTTGTCATTTATATATTATAACTGTTTATTTCAACAATGATTACAGAATTCATAGACGAAGTATGCTCGAAAATGCGAAGTAGTTAAGTACTAATTTTCTTGTTCAATGAAGACATTGAGATTTCTTGAGTGATCCATTAATAAATTTATCATAATCTTGTCCATTGAAGACAAACAGTTAATCTCTATTCATAGTGACGCTTGCAAACTACTAAATTATTCCATTCCATCAAATGTAGACTCAGCGACTGATGAAAATGTTTTATGGTGGCAAGTTTCTACGTGTTCTTATTCTTCGTAATTAGCTCCTCTAGACAAACGTTACCAAATAGCGTCTGACGGTTAATAAATCAGATGGTGAACTCAAAGTGTTGAATACGTTTATTTTGGCACGCCACAAATAAGGATAGCTGACGACAAGCAGACCGGAGAGGCAGACTAGCGAGTGAATGGTCGAATATGCGAGTGAGTTATTGAGATTTAAATATTTGTATACATACAAAGGAAAATCTCTGAGTCATCGTGATATTTAATAGAACAATATTAAAGCAAAAAGGATGCATATGGGCGTAGGCGTTAAGCGATGCTCAGTTATACCGGCTCATAAAAACCACACAATGACAGAAGCCAGTGGAACATATTAGTTATAATTTTACACATTTCTTGGTTAAATATAATAATTGAAAAGGCTTAACCAAATTGAATCTGAGAGAACTCGAATATACGTGGAGGCACGACAGTTTTACGGATCACAGAAAATAAGTACAGATGATCGCATGCATCTGCTATATTATTGGGGATATATGATAACAACGTAGAATGCCATCTCAGTGTCACATGGTTTTTAAGTAACAACGTGGAATCAAAGGATTATCAATCTCTATCAGATCGTCTTGATAGTGAGGATTTATTCAGCCTCATTTTGCAAATTTCTTACATTGAGGCAAAACATTTCAATGTAGATGTTCGAACATTAGTTGACAATACTTATAATTCTGATACGTTATTTGTGATATGACTATCCATTAAAGCATGGATAATGCCATAATCAGACTTAGGCACTATGGCATCTTTCTTAGCCATATATGTTCTTACATCAGTTATCAAATCTGAGCAAGCATTTTCACATAGGCGTGTGTAACGCTGGACTAAATGAATACGATATCGTGATAAAGGTGACCTACAATTACATAAATCGAAATCATCACGCATTTTTGAAATTGAACTGATGATTTGAATTACGGGAAGCTTTTAGGTTCATCAATGAAAACAGGTGTCACAGATAAAATAAAGATTTCTGTTTTTACACTTTTTAATTCATAAGTGAATGCTTGTTAGATCACCTTTAGAAACTCGTACCACTGGAAGGCCTTTTTCACTTGGTATATGACACATAAGCAGTGCGTGAATATTGCGCGATTTGAACCAGGGACCCTCTGACTTGTCCGCGAATGCCTAGTCTCTACAACGCTGTGGCTGTATCCAAATGTGCTAATGTCCAGCTCTGGTTAATTCTAACCGCGTACTAGCTTCTGGAGGTGTGTCTACGAGTTCTTTCGAGAAGACGTGACTAGTGCAGTTCACCTCTGACGGCTCAGGCGGTAACTATTAAAAACTAATGAGTGAAGTCCCGCCAAATCTGAGTCCGAAGTTAACACTGTTTTGTGCCAGCAACATGGTCAAGATGTTAGGCGTTCGCGAATAAGACCGAAGTTTTCCGATTCCAGTCCTTTGAGATGCAGGAGTAGTGGATGTTCATTGCTGATGAAAAACACACCATGATGCATCGACTATACAGACGTTTCAGGTTTCTAATGGTGATCCAACAGTGATTTGTGGATTATTTCATATGAGCAAATATTTTATCCATAGAATCTTAACATGATCAGGATTTCTGTCCTGTTTACCGCGTATATCGTAATTAAATCAGGTGACACTGGCAACCGTTTCCCTGATAAATCCATTATTTTAATGAAACGTAACAATGATAACTGTTCAATGCTGAAAGTTATCACTAGTACACTGTTGACCGAATTCCTGAGAAAATGTCCGCAACTGAGATATGTCATGGAGATAATTGTGTTAGGGCCGTGTTAAATCTGTGGCTATCGCCATTAAAAAATACAGGAATATGCTGGCGTAAAATCATTCCATTAGTGAAACTGGACGATAGCACCATCATATCAGTGGCTTAAAAAAGCAGCGTCACCACGCGAGACCGAGGATTTCGGGTGCTACTTCAGATCGTTTAGACATTGAGAAGTTTTTACAGCCTCATCTGACAAAAGTTGTTTCACTGACACAAAAATTATCAAACAAGATGATTGATTAACACCTGAAAACATCAGTCGTGCTTTTGACGCGTTGGTTGTGATATGACAGCGTCTACTCTATCAAAGGTTTGATTCAAACATATATAATACCAGTGATGGACGTGACCTAAAATCAAAATCACCACGTCTGACATTCAGTGTGACGGTCGAAGTATTGAAGTCTTATTGTTATTGCAAATTATCGAGCTGTGAATAATCCAGTTAGGCAGAACAGTGGATTATTCTGGTCTCATGAACGCCGGGTACAGAGTATGGTCATGATCTCATGAGTTGAAAGCGAAATGGATTCCACAAAGTTTCAAGTAACCAGTTTCGCTGATAGCGTCAATGTGATTGTTTTGTCA